GTCCCACAGCTCCAATGCTGCTTTCAGGCTTCGATATTTTGACTTTTATTGCTAAAAGCACCAAGCCAGCCACTTCAAAGGAGCAGCACACAGGCAGCACTGTCACATCCCTGATGGATCCTGACTCTGGAGAAGTTTTCCTCTCAACAAAAGAGGTTTTTTCCTCAGGCAGAGGATGGGACTGTTGGGTCAGGGAGATGGGTTTTGACCCTTGTTTGGCCTAATTCAGGATATTTTATATTCTCTGGGATTCTCTGGAAGCCAAGTGGCTTGCCAGATCCATTCCAGCAGTGTCTGGAAACATCCATGTCCTGTCACGGCTGGAACCTTTGTCAAGGCCTGGAATTTTGGGACATCCATGTCCTGGAATCCTGGGACATCCATGTCCTGTCAGGGCCTGGAATCTTTGTCAAGGCCTGGAATCTCAGGATATCCATGGCCTGAAGTCTTGGGACATCCAGGTTCTGGAATCCTGGGACATCCATGTCCTGTCAGGGCTGGAACCTTGGGACATCCATGTCCTGTCAGGGTCTGGAATCTTTGTCAAGGCCTGGAATCTCAGGATATCCATGGCCTGAAGTCTTGGGACATCCAGGTTCTGGAATCTTGGGACATCCATGTCCTGTCAGGGCCTGGAATCTCAGCACCTCCATGTCCTGGAACCTCAGGACATCAGCTCCACTCAAGAGAAGACTGAGCAATCAGCTGAAGAAAACCTGAATAAATCCTTTTTTTAGGAGTTAGCCAGTTGCTTAAAGCTCCCTCAAAAGAAACTCTGGACTGTGGAAAGCTCAGCCTGAGGCCCAGCACATGGAAATCCAAATAAAGAACCCCAAATGTGCTGTAATTCCAGTTCAGCCCCAGCACAGAGCCAATATTTCACCCCATTCTTGCACAATTAAAAGCTGCAGGGCCGGAAGTCAGAGAACTCAAAGCTGAGTTGAGAATTTAGTGTTTTGTTGAACTTCCTCCCACAAAGTACATTTCAAAAAAAAAATAAACACAGCAGACAGTAAAAGCGTGACTTTCATATAAACCATAAAAGCAATTGCACAGAGCACGAGATCAGCTCGCTGATAGAGAAAAAGGAGAAATTCCTGCCAAACAAAACTTTCATGGGTTCCAGCCCAGCTTTCTCGTGCACTCAATTGTTTAATTGTTTAATGGCTGTACCTTGAACTACAGGCACCCTCAAGATTTTAGGCAGCTCAGCTGCAAGAGCTGGCTCCACGTCTGAGGCACCAGGATCGCTCACAGCCACAGGAAAATCCATGGAAGTGCAAGGCAGGAGCACAAATGCAGGGTGGGAATCACCCCCTGAAGGGGAAATTCTGCTGCTCACAGAAATCCTGGGAGCAGAGCACAGAAATGAAGGAATTTACCTGAGCCCTCCATCAAGAGTGCCTCACTGGAAGCTCTGATGGAGCTGGAATTCTGCTGCCTCTGAGGGATAATGACTGATCTGTGCCTCTTCCTTCCAGGAGGCTGCAGGTAAAAATTCTCATTTCTCTGGCTCAGATCCAGCTTTCAGTGCTGTGTTTGTATCACTGAGAGCTGAAGCACAGCAAATAAACTGCAGGAGGATGATCCTTGTGCCATTTGGATTGATTTAAAAAAAGGAGGAGAGCTCACAGCCTCTTTAATCCTTTCAATTGGGAAAAAAAAAAATAAAACAGCTTCATTTCCCTCACAGGTAAGTAAAGACCCCTAAGCCAGTTAAAATGTTTTTTGGAACAACTACACAGCTCCAGCAATTAGGAATGACATTTGCTGTAACAAGAGGCATTTTTAAGATGCTGTTTAACTATCTCATGTCCCTTCCACAATAATCTGGCAAATTCTGGGCCTTGCTGCTCACAGTAAACACATTTCAGCACACAAAAGAGATCTTATCTGTGCGTTAGGAGTTACTTTTAGAAAATGCGCTTAAAAAACAACCAATTAGCAAGGTCTGTGCTCTGGGGGCTGCAAATGGGGGAATTAAGAGAGAGCTGCAGCTTCACTTGACAAACAACCTCAATTCTCCTCTTTAGATCCTATTAGGAAAACAACAGAGAAGCACAGAAATGAGGCAAACATTCCATCAAAGCCAGAGTGGACAGCTTTTCCTCCTAACATAAAAAAAAAACCTTGTAAAAAAATGAAAAACCCCTGAAAATGGTGGTTAACCAGGGGCAGAGAGCTGCAGGCACACATTTGCAGAACGAGGAGCTTTCCTGGCTGGCTGGGACACAAACCCATCCCATCCCCATGCTTTCTGCACTTGGCAGGGAGGGTGACTAATAAATGTGGATCAAATTCAACAGCTCCACTGCAAAGGAACAAATGGCTCTTTGTCTCACCCCAGCAGTGTCCAAGGAGCACTGGACGTGGCACTCAGGGCCTGGGCTGGGGACAAGGTGATGATCAAAGGCTGGACTCTGATCTTGGAGGGCTTTTCCAGCCTCAGGGATTCTGGGATTCAGCCCAGAACCCCAGGTTGCTGGTGAGAAGGGCAGGGATGGAGAAGAAACCCGTGCATTCCACGAAGCCAGCCCAGCACATCCCTCTGAATCCCAGGCTGGAGCTGCAGTGAAATTGAAGAATTTCTATTTCCTCCTTTTGTTCCTGCCCGTACAAATAAAAGCTAGCAGATTTCATTTCCTTATCTGTTCCTCACACTGGCTGTGTGCTACCCACCCACACGAAATATTTGGGTACAGAATGCCTGCTCAAAGTGCCCTGCTGGGCAACTCCCTGCCCTGAGGCCTGCTCAAATTATTGCTTCTTCAACCAACCGTGCTTCTCAAAGGGGCAGAAAACTGGAGCAAACCTTCCCAGCTGTGGACTTGGGAACAACCAGGGGCAATCCCAGCACCCAAGGATGTGCTTTGCCCAGTTTTCTATCATTTCAGCAGGGTGTGAAGTTTGAATTACACAAATTCTCTCTCTCACACACACATTTTCTTTCCCTTCTGTTTCAAGCAAGCAGAGAATTATTCCAAACCCCACGTCGGGTCATCAGTTCATCCTTGTGGGGGAGGGAACCAGAGTAAATTCAAAAGTCCTTTATCCCTATCCCATGAGTAATCTGATGGGAAAAAGCAAGCAGGAGATGCTGAAACACTGGCTAAATTCCAAGTTCTGAGTGGCTGCAGTAATATCTGCCAGTGGAAAACAAACCAGGGAACCCACACATGGGACACTAGAGGAAAGCCACACTGCTGGCAGCACACAGAAGGATGCCCAGACCATCTGGGGCAAACGTTCTACAAATGATTTCAGATTTTGTAGTCAAAGCATCAGTAAATGCAGAAATGGAGAAAATGAATCTGAGTCTGAACAGGCTGGGGAGGGGCTGGGATGAATTCCCAGAGGAGCTGTGGCTGCCCTGGATCCCTGGAGTGTCCAAGGCCAGGGATAGTGGAAGGTGTGGGGATGGGCTTTAAGGGCTTTTCCAACCCAAACCATTCCAGAATTTTATGATGGATACTGAAGCTCTCCCCCCAAACTCTAAACTCAAAGGCTTTTAAATAGGATTGCTTCAGACAAACAGAATTCCCACACAAAACAAGCCCCAGACATTCCTGAAGTGAACAGAAAGGGCAGGGATTGCTTCCAAAGGTATCTGCTTGGAATTCCACTTCCATTTTCTTACCCTGACATTCCACGAAGGGGAGAAATATCCCCTTGTCCATCAGCTCCTGAGGCCTGAGAGCTGGCAGGGAGTGAATGATGATCCCTGCATTTGGGGTGCTCTGTCCCACTCAGAGCTGACAGCAAAGGGCTCTTCCCACATCCAGGAATAAACAAACAAATGCACACCATCACTCCTGCACTGGAATGTCTTGTGCAAATTACAGCCTTATTCCGAAGTATTTCTGATGTAAAAGTGATGAGACACATACTGAGCACCTCGTTAGCTCCCAGCACCAGCACTGCCTGGAATGGTTATTCAGCAATTAGGGCTTAGATTAAAGCTAAACAGATACAGGGCACCTCTGCAAAGAACACCTGAACCAGAAGATTAAATTACCAAAATCTCCTCAATTACAGCTCAATTACAGCAACTAAAGGAAAAAAAAAATGCAAAATACTGTGCCAGATCCTTCAGCAATGCACAGACAACCTCAGCACTCACACATCAGGCCTCCCACATCCCCCAGCCCTCCAGACTGTCACTGGAAAGTACCTGCTCAGCTTTGTTTACAAGGGATTTCTTCTGCAAAGGACTTTTTTTTTCGCACTCACCCACCCTCTCTCCCCAGATCTCCTCTCGCCAATCTGCTCCTCCTACCAGCAGGGAATCTTTCCTGGGCTTTCAAGCCAGCAGAAGGTTCCACCACACAGAAATCACCAGGCTTGGTGCATTTAGGCAATACTGAGGAGTATTAGAAGTTAAGCATGCTGTGAAGGGCTCCGTGGAGCCAGGAAAATCACACATTACATAATGCCCCGGCAGCAGCAGATCCTCCTCAGCAGCCCCACCAGCGATTTATACCTTCACACAAAAAATCAGCTGCAAGGAAAGTAGCCACAACTGCAGAAGAACCCTAAATTCAGATGCTCAGGCTGTAGTGGATCCAGCAAATTTCCAGCCTGGCACTCCTTCCCAGCACGGATGAGAACATTCTAGAAGCTTGACAGATTTGGGGGTAGCTCTGTTTACTCTGGGTTTTTTTTTTTAATAATGAAACTCTGTGGTTTATAAGAACTACTGAAAGCAGACTGGGTTTGTTTTTTTTTTTCCCCTTTTTTTCCTAAGATTTAGTTTGTTTTTTCTCAAAGCCCCCCCCTTAAAAATAACGGATGTTTAAACCATATTTAGAGGCTCAGCTAAAGCAACTAATGAGTGTTAGGTAAGACGTCTCTCCATGTAGAACAATCTGTTCCAAAACTTACCAAAAATAGCAATTCTCTAAACACTGCTGTGATGCAATACTTAACCCCTTGCTGCAGCAGCAGCAGAATTTGACCATTTTCCCCCCAAACACAACGAGCGCCCCAGGAGCTCTCCTTACCTAGGCTGGTGGGTTTGATCAGCTCGTCCAACAAGTCATAAAAAGGGAGTTTCTGCAGCTTGATGTCGGGGTGCACGGGGTGCAGGGCCGAGGTGAGGTGGGGCAGTTCCAGTTCGTGTTTGGGTCCCAGCAGTGACACGGGGAGCAGGGGGGACGTGGCGGGGTGGCCGTCGTAGCCCAGCTGTGGAATGGTGGAAGGCGACAGCGCGGCCGGCATGGAGCTCGAGTGCACGCTGGGGATGGACAGGTCTGCTGGGGTCATGATTTTCTGGGGGAACCTTCTCCTATAGAGTTCTTTGATTTTCATCTGGACGGCGGGGCTGCAGCCAGCCTTGAGCAGGTGCAGGGCTTTGGTCAGCAGTTCGTGTTTGCGGCCGTGCTTGTTCCTGCCCGCGTAGCCCAGCAGCACCTGCAGCTCCGAAACTCGAAGGCTCAATTCAGCACCCTCACCAGAAACAGAGGGTTAAGAGGTGAATTCAGCACCCTCACAAGAAACAAATAGAGGGTTAACATGTGAATGAATTCAGCACCCTCACCAGAAATAAACACAGGGTTAACAGGTGAATTCAGTACCCTCACCAGAAATAAACACAGGGTTAACAGGTGAATTCAGTACCCTCACCAGAAATAAACACAGGGTTAACAGGTGAATTCAGTACCCTCACCAGAAATAAACACAGGGTTAACAGGTGAATTCAGTACCCTCACCAGAAATAAACACAGGGTTAACAGGTGAATTCAGTACCCTCACCAGAAATAAACACAGGGTTAACAGGTGAATTCAGTACCCTCACCAGAAATAAACACAGGGTTAACAGGTGAATTCAGTACCCTCACCAGAAATAAACACAGGGTTAACAGGTGAATTCAGTACCCTCACCAGAAATAAACACAGGGTTAACAGGTGAATTCAGTACCCTCACCAGAAATAAACAGAGGGTTAACAGGTCAATGAATTCAGTACCCTCACCAGAAATAAACAGAGGGTTAACAGGTGAATTCAGCACCCTCACCAAGGCTCAGAACCATTTGCTTCAGAGAAACTAAAATAAGAGTTAACAGCTGACTTCAGCATCCTCACCCAAGGTTTATAACCATTTGCTTCAAAGAAACAAAACCAAGATTTAACAGGTGACCTGAGCATTCTCACCAGAAATAAAAAAGGGTTAACAGGTGATTTTCAGCACCCTCACCAAGGCTCAGAACCACTTGATTCAAAGAAACAAAACAAAGGTTTAACAGGTGACTTTCAGCACCCTCACCAAGGCTCAGAATAATTTGCTTCAGAGAAACAAAACAAATGGTTAACAGGTGAACTCAGCATCCTCACTCCCACTAGAAAGCCATGAAGCCCTTAAGCATGACGTTTTCAAGGCTCTGTGCCACTGCTCTGCCCCTTGTACAATGTTCATGTATTTAATGCAATGCTCAGTATTTATTACAATGCTCAGTGTTTATTTTCAAGTTCTGCAACGAGAGATTTTTAAAGGCATTTTCACTCTGTGGGCAAAAAGCTGAGAAAAGGACTCAGTGCAAAATAAAGGTTGTAACTCCAATTATCTTTTTAATCACTTGCTGAAATCTCTGATGGTACTAATTTTTTTTCTTGCTCTAGCTGGATGTAAAAGCAGTTGTACACTGACAATATCCAAGCTGTGCCAATCCTCAGCTCCAAACAGCACTTCCCTCAGCTTCTGCCATGCAGCAGAACTGATCCACACAGGCTGAAGGAAAGGAAAGTGAATACAATCCCATTTGAGCCTTGTCACCATTCCTGGGTTAAAGGAAACTTCCTCCCCTTCCACCTCTGCTCTTCTCCCATCAGAGCTGTGTGTCCTGTTTGGACGGGGGAAGTTGGGCTTTGCCCTCTGTTAATTAGCATCTTCATTAACACAGCCACTTAGTGCCTCCCAACAGGATCTAATGAATCACACTGGTACAACTTGTCACCTGTTTCACTTCTCCAGGAACTGCGAAAAACACTTCCCAAACCAGTGAAACCAGTAATCACCAGTGTGCATCAACTGGGCAGGCAGGAGCCAGAAAATCAACTTCAGGGCCTGGTTTTTATTGAAAAATACATTTCAGTGCTTGACAGGGGCTTGCTCATCACCAGAAGGCCTAAGACACCAGCTGGAATGAGGACATCCCTGCAGAAGTTTGGATTCCCACGGAATCATAAAGAAATACAATGCCTAAAACCCATTGATGTGACAGGCTGCCTGCATCTTCTGCAGGAAAGCATCAAACACCCTGAATATTCTGTGGTCAATCCCAGAAGATTTGATTCCAAGCAACACTTGATGGATGGATTTGGGACCAAAGCAGCTAATGCAGCACATGAGGGAGGGCTCTGCAATTTCCCAGCCACTGGAGGACGAAGACCCAAACCAGAATTTGCATTTGGAATCTCTGAATTTGACTACAAATGCTCCCATCCTCTCTGGTCCTTCAAACTGTGCAAAGTACTCAGCCTCAAACACTGCTCTGTTTTCTCCACGCTAATTCTCAAACCTGAAGTGCCAAGATTAGAAAGGTGCTACCCCTGGCTTTAACAAAACCAGCCCAAAACTCCCATCATCTCCTCAGAGCTCCAGCCCCTGCCAGAGATCTTCACTGCCCAGGTGTCCACGGGAGGTTTTCCCCCCACTGAAACTGCTCCTGGTATTTAAAAGCCCTAAATTAGATGATTCATGTCTTTAATGAGGTTTGCAGCAGCCACACTGAAGTCAAATTCGCCACAAGATTTCTGCTCTGCTGGACCCCAGCTCGGGAACCTTGCTGCAAATCCCTGCTGCAGCCTCCCACAAACCCTTTGGATGGAACTGGAGCTGTTTGATTTCCCTGAACACCCCAAGAACCTTCTTCACACCTAACTCTGAGACTGTCACAGAGTCACTAATGAGAACAGACGAGGTACTTGGTAAGAAATGAAGATGTCTTAAAAGAATAAGGCATTTCAGCTCCAATCTGAAGCGTTGACAGCTGAAAGGAAAGTGAAACAAATAGATTTGAAACACGGAAAAACACTATTTATAATGCTACACAAACACTTCTTCAGCAGAATGAGTAGTTACAGCTGAAGGCTTTAATGCCATCACCATTAAAAGTCACTTCCTGAACAGGCAGAACCTCTCAGAGCTTCACTCTGTTCTTGTTTTGCGATAAACTCACCGGCTCAGCTCGCCAAGAGCACAAGAGGATTAAGAAATAACTGAGGCAAGGGAGAAGCTCCTGCTCCAGGCTGGATAATTTCCATTTTTAAGGTAAAGGCGAGCTGGAATGAGCACACAGAGAGCAGGGTCCATGCTGGAGCCAGACTCAGAGACCAAAACAAACAAAATCCCCACATCTTCCCCACCCGGCGCATTCCTCGCACAGGAGGACAAGAACAATTTTGTTTGCAGTGTTCAGGGCACTGACAGATCCATCCTTAAAACCAGCAATAAAGCCTGGTGGGTTTATTATACTTCCATCATTTCTAGATAAATCTTTTAAACACATCACAGAGAGGCAATGCCACAAACCATGCCCACCTTGCACAGGGGATGGTGTCCCTGGGAAGCACAGCTGGGAAAAGTCTCCTACAACATCAACAGGAGAATTCCTGTCCCTCCTCCAACCCAGCTGTGGTTTACAGGGCCCAACCTGTGGGAAATGGATTTGTAAGAGATAAGAAATGCTGACTTAGAAATGCCATGGAACAGGACAGACATTGCTGAGAGAGAAACGGAACTAGAAACAAGTTTCAAAGGATGGTCTTACAAATAAAACTAGATTATTTTAGAGAAGTAGAACTTTGAAAGATGCATTCTAGTGGGACCCACGAGGGGTAATTTTAGATGATTGGCTTCAAGGCATTTACAGCATGGCGTGGCTAAAGCTGCTAGGCCAAGAAACACTTTAGTGTATTGTAATTAGGAAATAGTTGGCTTCTGATTGTGATGGTGTGAATTATAACATCTGTATTGTCTCACCCTTCTCATGAGACTGAAAATGGAATTAAAGTTTTACAACACCTCTCAGTTGCCCCATCTCTGGGTCAGGAAAGGGCACAATCTGACACCAACCCAGCTCCACCAGCAGAAATCCAAGCCCTCTCCATGCTCTGATCCATGGTATCCTGACCCTGGGACAGGCAGGGTAACACAGCAGGGACAAGCCAAGTGCTGCCAAACACATCAAGAAAGTCCACAAAAAAGCCTCAATTTCTCCTGTTTTCTCTGTCACATCTCATCTCAACTCCAAGCCCTTGCTGGCTCAGCTGCAGCAGCAGAGTTGAAGGGCAAAGACACAAAGAGTTTTGCTGCAGGAAATGTTGCTTTTCTTTCCTGCTGCCTGCAGCAGTGGAGCACAAATTTCAGTGGCACCTGCCAGGTACAAACCCCTGCACAAAGACTGCCCCCAAAAAACAAATAACTGCCCCCACCCCTGGCTGCTGAGCAGAACTGCCAAAACGTTGGGATTTCTCTATCCTAACAGGAAATAAAGTAGCAAAACAACAACAAAAAGCTGAACTGCAGAGAAATGAAAGGACAGGCACAGCTCCCAAGGACTGGCTGCAGAGAAATCCTGCTCGCTGCAATTCCAGGTGTTTAGTTGTGGGAACATTCATTCCTGCAAACAGCACTGCAGTGCACAAGGAATTGATGTTGTTTAGCTCTAAAAAGGTCGAGGTTTTGGCACACAGCTTCTGACTGGTTTCCAACAAATGCCAGCATCAAGCACACACTGGTATTGTGCAGTCTGGTACTGAGGGAATGCTCGATGTTCAAAAAGAGGATGAGGATGGTGAGAAACATTTTTCAGAGAGCAAAAGCTGGAAGAAGCTTTCCAGAAATCCAACTTAGCTGGGGGTGGTGGCACATTCCTGCTCTGATTGCCTGTGAAGACCTTCCTGGAGTGAGGAAGGGATCTCTGAACACACCTCTGGCATTTCCTGCTCCACAACCCAACCCAACCACGTGTTCCTGCACCAAAACTGCATCACTCATGGATTCCTTATCCCTGCATCCCAACTCCAGCACCACAGGCTTCCCAAACCCCTCAGGGGATTTGCTGCCATCCAACCAGCCCCACAATTGTCTGTGTGAGGTGGCAAAGAGGCCAGGTTGTTTTCCCACCTCCTGTGTCCAACCTGGGCCGGTTTTCTGGCTGTGCCATCCGAAGCACTTGATGCCATTCCTGCTGCTGCAGGAGCATCCCAAATTTCCATGCGTTGAGGAAACACTCTGCAAGAACCCACGTGGAAATAAGGAGTATTCCACCAAGGAGATTTGGAAAAAAAATTAATTTAAATATATGGGAGTAATCCATGGGCAGTACTGATGTCATTCCCCTCAGGCTCTCTGGTGATTATCCATAGGGAAGGGATCTTCTACCCACAGCTCCTTCCCAAAATAATCAGGACATTTTTTAAAAAAGCCATTAAAGATGAAAACTGGTGAAGGTAAGAATCATTTACTTGGATTTTCTCTGCAACAGCAACAGCAGAGATGAAATATGGCTTTCCACACAAACCCAGTTGTTCCAGGCAAGGAACTGAGCTCAAGGAATTCCAGCCCTCAGCACAGCTTAACACCTCAGAGCATTTCAGGAGCAGCATCTTGTCTCCATGACCTATGGAAACTGGGAATTAAGCTTAAAAATAAATAAAATCCAAGTGTTGGTGCCTCTGGATAGGACATTCCCTGGATAACCTGTGGCTGGTTTCACAGTCACTGATTATTCAGGGAAATAATCTGTGAACCTTAATTATTTTCCCCATTTTTAGAAGGGAGGGACTTGTCTGAGAGGTCAAAACCAGGCAGAAACCAATATTTATTTATATTTTTAATAAGCTGAGCAGGATCCACAGAGTGATGGACAAGGCTGAGCATTTTTGGCCCATCCAGCAGCACCAAAACTGTCCTCAAAGCAAAATATTCAAACCCAAGTTTGATCCATGTCTTTTTTAAAAGGATATGTCTCCAGTTATCAACCCTAGGATCTATCAGGAGAATCCAACGAGTTATTCCTGGGTGTTTATGGCAAGCAGAAGCAGGGAATAAGCTCCAAAACATATTTAAATTATTTGCCAGCACAACAAGAAGCATTTGGCT